TTCAGATCTTTTCTGGTTGTTCCAAGCTGCAACAAGGCAAAAACACCATGCACTGGAAGTCCCTTGACATGATAGGGGGCAAAACAATGCAGAACAGATAGTGCCACACATGCACGTACCGTCTTGAAGTTCACAGCTATGCCACCTCTGCAATGCCTGACAACTTCAGTTCCCACATACCCCAGTTGCATCAAAGGAGCCAGATTTGCTCTTGCCAACTCCTCACGTAGCGCTGCATTTTCAGCTTTCAACGTCTCTGCATTCACCAGCTTTGCTGAAAGCCCTGTGGTGGTCGGTCGGATCGGTTTTGGCATTGGGGAGGACTTGGTCAAAGCTTTGGGCGACGAAACCTGCCGCAGTGCACCAACTGGCGTAGCTGGCGTGGAGTTCTGCCTTCTCTGGTGCTTCTGTGCATAACCCTCGTTGCTTGTAGGTTTTGACCTTTGCCAACCGGCAAAGACTGGAGTCGCCCCCCACTGAACGAACACACTGGGGATTGATCCCACAGATCCAACCGCTGATTTACGACTCAGTCCAGAACTCTTGGACCGTGGTGGACCTGTTGGTCCTGTTGATCCTTTGGATCCTTTGGAAAAGGATCTCCTTTCGACAGTTGAAAGTGGAACCTGATTTGGATATTTTGGATGACCATTGATGATATTGATGGGTAGATGTTGAGCAGCTACCCGAATTCTTGGAGTTTGCAGGCATCTTCCTTCGCCCGAAGGCTTCATGAGATGCGTGCTGGGGACTTCCGACCGCCGAGGAGTGACGGCAAGAGAGTCACACGGAGGGCTTTTAGTTCCCGCCATGTGAGGCTCTGAAAACGACCGCAACTGGAAGGATCGTACTGAGCGCGGCGTGTATCCAACTTCAGCATCTTCACGAGACGGGCTCCGGCCACGTGGTGGATCCCGTGTATCCCGTGCTTCATAGGCAGATCTGCGTTTGGCGGTCTCAGTCATTGCTCTGTCCCTGAACTCTCGAGACTCCCTGAACCAAAATTCCTGCAGCGTGTTGGCCGTGTTGGTCATCACATTTGGGGGGTCTGACATTGGCCAGACCGATTCTCGAAGCACGGTCTCTTTCTGGGCCATGGCTTCGTTTCGCGATTGAACTTCGACTTGCTTCAGTCTCTGATCCAAAGATATTGAATCATACGTTGGATATCACGTATGTGACATATGTGATGTGTGTGTGTGTGTGATATGTATTGTTTCAGGGATGCTGCCTGTGGCACCTGAATCCTATCCTGGAAGATGGGCCTTGGATTCGAAGCTAGTGCTGCAATCAGAGCTCATTTTATTTCTTTTGCTGCATTTGAAGCTAAACATTAGAAGGCTTTCAGTCTTCCAAGACTTGCACAACTTGCTTTGCTTGTCCTGCCAACTCCAGTCTACGGTCTGGAGCCAAACTGGCATAGCACAGGGTTCTCTTGCTGAAAGGTTTTGGATGCAAACAAGGCCAGTGAACACTCACAACAGCTGCTAAATCAGCTTACACAAGCGCTTCAAATTCCTTCTCATTGGAGCCCTGCTGAATCCTACAGAACCTCATAGATCCTCTATTTTCGGAAAGAAATGGGTTACCGAGGTCAGGACTCCCTGAGGAAGTAGAAACCATGGCACGTGCCGACCACTCGTGCCGCCCAATAGCTAAGAAATGCTAGGAGATTAGCTGTCACAGCATCAGCCGTAGGTATCTGCACTGTCACTGTGCATCAAAAAGAACATGCAAACGGCATCCATTCTGTTCTGAACACAGTCAGAGGACATGACAGGAATAGATGAATAGCCCATGAACCAGAACAAGGCCATGTTCCCTTGGTCCCGTGTGCCAGTCACTATCTTGTGCAACAATTTTGACACACCGGTCTTCGCATTGGTTCTTTGATGCGCTCAACCAACATGGAAGACTTAGACTCTGCCTGTTTTTTTGCCATCAGCTTCGGTGGCCCAGGCTCATCTGTAGGCAAAAACAGAAGTGAAAAACGCCACAACACTGAAATAGAAGAGCTTGAGCCACCAGGGAAGCATACATCACTGACTTAGGTCATCTTTGCTCAGGAAGCAAAACTGGAAAGAATCGTCCCATGTTTCACAATGGTTCAGTTTGCGCCTGAGTAGCACCCACGAGACAAGCACGTGTGACGAAGGGCGTGCTGCCACGCCAAAAAGCTGTGACCTTGGATTCCAAGTGGTTTCCAGCTGACTTGACTGCATTTTAGCAAAACAGTACGGAATCACATGATTCCATGATTCCATACTCATGGACTCATGGTGCTGTTTTCACCCGAGCCATCGACACCTTCCTCTTGCGCAATGCGTTGGGCGCAGTCTACGACACCCTGGGATGATTCCATCAGATTATGGGCATGATCAGAAGCTCCCATATATAGATCAATATGGCCAAAATGAGCACATCCTGTGAGTCAAAGTGCCAAATTGAGCCCCTTCACCTTGTAGTTTCGTCGCATAGATGGCTCCAGTGTGGCGTCATTGGACAAGCGAACAAGGGATACCTACAAGGCGGAGACGTGCTGGAAGAGTCTTGTGTGAAAATGTTGAAAAAGGTGTCTGTCTCTGAGCGCCTAAGCATCTCAACCAAGCTGACCAAGCTTGGTGTTGACAGGTTTTACAGGTTTCATCATGTCACCCAGGCAATACAACAATCAAGCGCCTCGCAAGGACAGGAGATCAGTGCAGCCATCCCACCTGCCGCTGTTGCCTCATTTCTGTGGTCCGTCAATGAGTTGAACTGTTCACGCCTGAACCTGAACCTGTCACGTAGATGACACAAACAGCCGCAGAGACTGGAAAAGTATAGCTATTGTTTGAATTCAAAGTTTATATGAATTTGATTGCATTTGTATGGGTAAGCATGAGGCGTTCATGCCTGCAATATGGCACAATTGTTTTTTAGGTTTTTGTTCCCGCAATGTCTTGGCAAAACTGGGTGTATGCAGCAAGTTTCATCGGTGTCCGAGGACCTTGCACAAGCCAATCGGGAAGCAAAGTCGACCTGCGCTCTGAGGTCTCTAGATATCTCCAGACATCGCCAAGTTTGGCAAAGCAGTCGTCCAGTCACCGTCATGTTTGGCGATGGCGATGCCTCACGATACTTTGCCAGAGTGTCCCTTAAGACTTGGAACCTCGAAACATCCGGAATCTCTCCACAAATTGCCAACAAGGCTATAGCTGTGGCCGGGCCCATGATGCAAAAACTCGTGAACTGAGATCGCAACAGTCCATATCTGCTGCTTGCATAGAAAATCTGCAAGAAAAGGCCGAAACAGACGTAGAAACCGTGTGGAAAGCAACAGTACATTATGCTGCATCCCTGTTCGCACCTGTCTCCAAATGCCTGCTCCAATACCATCATAGAGGCCCATGATGCCGGTCTGAATGCATGGCTTCAAGCACGACATCTTGAAATCATGATAAATCATGTGTGTGTGTGGAACTGCAGTGGCTGTCAGCACTGAGGTGTATGCAGTTTTCACCGTCTGAGAGGCAAAAGAGAAGAAGTTCAACTTTGCACCCGGATTCTGGCGCAGCGGGGTGCTGCAAAGAACCAACACGGAACTGACAAACCTCTTGGGAACCATGACCGGCCTGCCCATGATAGGTGTCTTTTCGCGGCTCCCTCTTAAGTCATTGAAAACATCTCCAAGAAGTATGCTATCATGAAAACACATTGTAAAACTGAAACAAGTCACCCTGGACCGTGCGGCTCATCTTAGACTACTCTGCGAGCTCATTTGTCTTCATATATACTAAGCAAATGCAGCCCGAAACATCCACCACGCTCTTTCAGCAAGTGACAACGAACGAAAACTCAGAGAGATTGCCAGTTATATAGTGAGTGTGCATCCATTTGCATCCTCGCAGCCGTTTCATCGTTTTGCTAGTTCCCATTCCATCCTGCATGCTCGCAAGATTCATCCGGATGGCCAAAGTATTGACCTCGGAGTGCCCTTTTTGGGCCCAATTGGGCCATCAAGTTGCTGTGATCCGTGGGAGTCACCTGCAACCGCAAGTCTGCATAGTCTGCCACCAAGAAGCCGGGTGGATAAAAATCCATCCAAAAATTCCTCCAACCTCAGATTCTCCCAACATTTTGGCATACAGAATCAACGCCAGTATCGACTCGTCGACCATTGACTCATTGAGCTGAGGAGCACCAGAGGTGCTGAAGGCAACCCAACCTCAAGGATGTTGAGTCACGGATGTCAAGGATGTCAAGGATCGTAGTATATCGTAGTGACTAGATGTGACTAGTGACTAGTGACATCGCCGGTGTCAATCAACATGTCAGATGTCAGATGTCGGTGAAGCCCTGCCTGGCAGAGGCTTGGACGCCATTGCTAGCCGCACTTTGATGGAAAAAATGGCTGCAGCATGGCTTTTTAAACTTGTTTCATCTTGTTTCAACTCCTGGACTTGTGAACAAGATTCTGAATTGTTCAGGGGTTGAATCGAATCAATGTTCAACATTTTCACATATTTTCACAATAACATGATTGTTCCTGGCAGTTTCGAGTCTGATTCCAAATCTCACTGTGGTAGCCGCAATTTCCGGAAAACGTCTGTCTTTCCAGAATCCTTCCAGCAGCATGAGTCCCCCGCTGCAAGTTTATCTCAGTCTACAACTCTCTGCGCTCACTTTTGACTCGGTTTGCTGCTGTTTGGTGGCGACAATGTATGTCATACCATTCCTGCGCCACAACCCCGAGTGCGCAAATCGCAAGCCAAAGCACGTGAAAGAGTTGGAATTTCAGTCAATCTTGAAGCCACGGGGTATGAATATGATTGTAAAAGCATGTGCTCCTCATCATTCTTGCTTTCAACTGGAAAGCAAGCTCGAAGAGTGGCAAAGTCACGGTCAACATACCTTTCAGAGAGCACGGCCATAACATGATCAAGAAAACCAACAAGTTTATGTGGACCCTTTAGAGCCCAAAGGCATTCAATTGCGTGACATTTAGAGGCAATGCAACCAGACCTCCCTGCCATTGCCTTGGCGGTCCAGCAGCAAAGCCCTGTACATCTGCATGCTCATCATGGACCTCGGCATGAGGTGCCCGTTGATCATTGTCACAGTTGTCACAGTTGTCACGGTTGTCACACTGCCGAGCAACAAAACAAAGACGGCGGCAGAGCTCGACCGCTTCCCCTGAAACAGCAAACAAGACCCAAAACTGCGAAAAAAAACTGGCTCTCAGTGAGGCGAGCAACGTTCGAGCCTTTTCAATCTTTCAAGTTGCCAAATGGCTCTGACCGGTGCTGCAAACAGGAGCCTTGGCTAATCCAAGACTTCCCTGACACTCCAATGGCGTCCTTCAAAGCATTGATGCTGCCCACTATGGAAACAAATAACTAGATTGTAAGGGATTGTATCTATCCAGCACGGCATGTCTGTGTGTGTGTCTAATAATTATGTTGCCCTGTCCTCTCCAAAGTCGCCAGCATGAGTCAAAGGCCTCGATTTGATCAAACCAATACAATTTGTGCCGCTGAAACATGCTGAAACCCTCAGCTTTGCAGCTGCTTGATCTGCTTGTCTGCGGCCTTCCGTGTTCGTCCAGAAGGTGCTTTGCTTTGTGATGACCCTGAGGGACGACCTGCGAATTTGACTTCTGCATCTTCTGCACCCTCTCTACCGCACGAGAAAGGGCAACAAAACCGCTCGACGGTCAAACAAAGTGGAATGCCATCATCGTGGCCGGCCGAATTGAGGATTCCGGATTCACATCAGTTTGGAAGGGTCACTATGTAAGATGCTTATGGATGCTTTTTCCCCCGTTTATTTCGCTCAAAATTACTCAACCCAGCTGACCCAGCTCCACCTTGAAGTCTTGGTAGCCTTGCTCTGCTGCCTGACCAAAGCCACATGGAGGAGGTGAACAATTGATGGCATGGGCATGGGCAGCATGGCTCAAGAAGACTTCCTCAGAATTCATCTTTTCGACACCTGCTTCAAGTAGACCAAGCTGTTCAGTTCCTCATAGGCTTGTGAACCAAAGCACAGCATGTGACAGTGCTGCTTAGGTGTCCAATGCTCCAGGCAGCATGAAAGCCAACCGTGTCAAACTTGAAGCGCCACAGGCATCTTCCACGACCATTTTCAAGCATTTGGTAGGTTCACTAGGCCGACCCATCAGCAGCGGAGCTGCCACTCAACTCAAGCCAAGGATCGAAGGATAGGAAGGGTGGCTTCGGCCACAATGTGGCCAGCTGTGCAAGAGGCGGAAATGTCGTGAAAATCCGTGGCAGAAATTTGAGAAAACCTGCATTGCATAACGACTCTGTTCGCTGGCAACCTGGTCCAGCCTGGTCTAGGATCAGACCATCAGCACCCTCAGTGTCCAGTTTCAGATACCTCAGCGGCAAGGCCGAGGTTGCGCCACTTTCTGTGTGGAAGACCAGTCACTTTGCGCTGAGATACCAAGGAGTGCCATGCTTTCCAAAAAGAGCCTCACAGCTTTGCACGGGGAAAGCGAAAACACAAAACTTGGAGAAGTCCGGCGCTCAGCCCGCAACTCCCAGATCTGTTGATTTCACATCCACCACCTCGGCCTGCAATCTGTATACATTCGCTCATGTGGACAGGTTTGAGATTCCTTGAGAACTAGAAATCTACAAAGTCATGAAATAAGTGTGACAATGGTGTACATTGTACATCATAGATTGTCAAAAGATCTTGAAACAGGGTCGTCCTCCGTATCATACCGGGAGCCCACAGTCTCGAAGCAACCTGGCTCTCCACATTCCATTCCACTAAAAATTTGTGACTAAAAGAGGTCGACTGCTCAAACAGGTGTCGCCAGTTGACTGAGCTGGTCAAAACTAAGGCGTCTGAATTTCTCTAGTTTTGCTGCCTCCACGGAGTGAGCTAGTCAAGAATCATAGCGGTCGAAACATGCCAAGCCAGGCTGCTCCACTCAGAGTCCTCTTTGTTGATGTACAACTTCGCCTAAACCCAGAAACCAACAGGATCCCTGGAACAAGGAACTGCAAGTATCAGCTGGCATGTTGCTGGCTTCAGCCGAAGTAGCTGAGGAGCTGGTCCAAATGGCCGTCTCCTATTGCGAAATGGCAATCAACATATTATTCTATATTAATCTATATCGTGTCATGCAAATTTATTCATATAATTGTGTGTGTGTGTTTCAATCTCCTATCTCTTCGCTTTTCCTTTCAATTGAATTTGCTGAGCATTTTAACCACTGACAATTTTTCAATCAAATGATCAAGCAATAGTTTGCAGAATGCCATAGACATCATGATTCTTACTTCTCCCTTGAAGTGCCTATCACATCAGCCGACTCAAACGCGTCTGCATCGCGTCCTCATCGCGTCCTCCAAAACAAGTTCACCAGAGCTGATGAAAGTTCCAAGGCGTTCTCGAATTGCCTCCAGCAAAATTCAGAATGTCACACACTTGAAGGCCATTGAAGGCCTATGGACAAAAGTGTCCAAAGATGTCCAAAGGATTCCAAAAGGATCCAAAAGGTATCAGTATCAGTTGCGCTTGATAAGTGAATACCCCGGTGCAATGCATTCCTACTAGTTTGCCGTCTCTGGTGCCAAAGAACACTCAATGGTCCTTTGCAAGCGCCCTGACTTTACGACTACTTGTCCCAGTATGATCGACAAGGATGCTCGTTGAATCGCCCTTTGAGCTTGTGGTGAAAATGCCTCAAAGCAAGCCTTTATTCTAGTCGGAACGCGCGTCAATCTCTTACATCCCATGTCCTGACATAATGTCTGATTGTACTGCGGAAATGACGCGAATTTATCCTGATTTCTTTCTAAAAAGTATGACCCAGGATGACCCAAGGTCCCAGATGTCCCAGCTTTCTCGCCTTTGCTGCTGCTGGATTGGGTTCCACGGCCACTACCTGCAAAAAGATAGCACCAAGGCAGGTTTCGACTCAGGGAGAGAGGTCGTGGACCTGCCAAAATTCTCAAAACCGGAGAAAAGTCTAAGAATCAGAGTAAGCTCATTTGAGATCATGCTTTTTCAGATCAAACACATCTAAATACCACATACGACGTGAATGTTGGGACTGAAGCTTGGTTTCGACATGTTTCGACTTTGGCTCCAGGCCTGGAAACCTGCATCTAAGTACCGTTCGCCTCACGCAAAAACTGTGCAATTGTCGTGCTTCGCCCAATGGCTGGCATCTCTAAAATTGTGTAAAGGTATGTAAAGGTCATGTTTTTCTTAATGAAGAAAAATTGACCCATCTGATTTTTTTCTCAGGCCCAGACTGCTTTGCCCAAAGTTGGCACCAATGTCCATGACGATTCCTCCATCGGCATCTGATGTGACAAACTGACCATGCCTGGAGGCGTTTTCACCGACTCCTTCCGTTCTGCTCTTTGTCGACATCCGCCTCCTTTCACGGCAAGAGCTCGGGGCAGCTACCAAGGTATGAGAAAGTTCCATGCACTTACGATGAAGATGATGAAGCTATTTGGATCTATTTGGAAGACATCACTGCATGATTTTCTGCCTCTTGCTCTCCGGATCTGCACAATTGCTTGGATCTGCACCAGTGATGACCTGAAGCAATTGTACACTGGACATGATGGAACAGGAATGATAAAAACGCTGAAACGTGGCTTGTCCCAGAGGTCTGCGTTTTAAAACGACTCAATCGACTGACATGGCTGAAGATATTGAATCTGCCCTCCGTGACTTCGTGGCAGCCATGGCTGACTTTACAGTCGTGTGTCCCTTGCCACTAGAACTGCCAAGACAGCCCAGTTTTGTTCTAGTGTTTGGAAATGCAGACAGCAGCAAGGGAACACGCGCTCAAGACTTGGATTCCAAGATCACAGATTGCCTTTGGCAATGCGATCGATTCTGTTCCCAGAACGCAGCCATTCCAGGACATGGAAAAATTATCAACCTGCTCTCCACACTGTAAAATGATAATGGCAACAGTAAACTTCAAGAGTTCCATATCCATGACATACGTGAACTTTTCCCAAAGTCACGGTGTTTTTCTTTTCTTCTTCCGCTGGTAGATTTGGATTTTTTCGGGTGGAGATTGCAGGTCGAGGGAAGATTAACTCTTCTCCGAAGCAGCCGGTGCTCAACTACTCAACTGAGGATGCAGCCGTTGCTCAATTAGGTGTGTGCAATCAAGAAATTGCAAGGAAGTTCCATTGCATCAGATGTACAGATGAACGACTTGGCGTTAGGAGCCACTTTCTATCATATACCCCAGCACATCTTGTCAATACTACCTATGAGATAGATGTAGGAGCCACTGTCTACTGCCCCAGAACGGCTTGTCGTCACTGCCTATAAGGTAGTGAGTTGTGAAGTATGTGCGGAAGACTCTTTGATACTTGTACAATCTACTGAATCTATATACTGTAATCTCAGCCGTGATGCCTAAGGCATTAACAGATCAAACAGATTCAACTTGTTCTCACTATCCAGCAATCGAGCCCCGTTGCTAGAAATACTTCCAAGCCAACGCCAGGCTGGGAGCTTGGCCAAGTTCGGAGAGATCGCGCCTTATTTTCTGCCCAGGCAATGCTTGTCCCACAAATTGACATTGGCATATAGTGACATATATCATATATTGACATATTTTTTGGCATTCCATGGCATTCGGGTGTTTCAAGTAGTTCTAACATGTTGTGACACGTCGTAACAAGTTGCAGTGAGCTTTGAGTTTTGCATTGCCTGTGCCACGCGCGATGCACTGCAAACCCAGGAAGCTGGCAGCCGAGAAAAGTGCTTGGATGGCATGCCATGCCCAAGCGACATGTCATATGAGTCACACAGAATTGTGGTCTCAGAAGTTTCTTTGGACTGATCCAAGGATCAATACATGCCACAGATGCCACAGAAACCATGTCTAGCATGTCTAATCACGTGTCTCTTCACTCGCATCTGGCTTTGTGATGCTTTGTGCACCCAGTAAGAAAGAAAGGCCCCATAGCCTTAGGAGCCCCTCTGCTCCTTTAAGGAGCAAAAAGGCAATGAGTCTTTTCCAAATGGTGGAGAACGCAGAAAAGCATTGGCCAGCATGGCTTTCAAATTCATCGGCCCGGCAGTAGTCGCACCAGCGTTCTGAACGTGGCTTTGCTCAGGGGAGAAACCTGCCCAGAGTCCAGTTATCTCAAAGTTAAGTCACACTGCAGTATCACGAAACATGCCAAAATATGTTGTCAGCCACTCTTAAGTCTGTTAAGAATTCTTTCAAATTCTCTCAAAGAGAAGTCAGTGGCAATCAGTAGCAATCAGCAGCAATTCCTCTCGTCAACTAGATGTCACTCTCTGGGAATCTCAACAGAGGTGTGACTTCCAAGCGGCCTCCTCACTGCTGAGAACCTGACGCAGTATGCTACCACCACTGCACTCATGGATGAAATGGATGAAACTGGTGCAGTCTTTCATCATAGCTACTATTCCAATCTGTTCCATGTCTTCATCATCTCTTCCCATTTCATTTCATTGTTCCAGACTCTTCCAACTTGCAAATCACAGATTCAGACCTCCGAGCAAAGCTGATGACGTGTTCAGTTGGCCAAACATCCTTTGAGGCTGAATACAGTAATCATATTATGAAAATCGGTGAAAGCGTAACAGTTTGAAGTGATACATCATGGTCAACAGGGGGGGTCCCAAAACCAGTTCGGCATGATAGATCATGGAGGCGGCATCCAGTCTACCCCAATTCATTGTTAAAGCAAATCGAACTCCAGCTAGCAAGCTAGCTTTCGTGATATTATATACATATTATATTTATATATATATATACTAAAACCTTTTTAAAAAAATGTAAGTCAACTACTGTAGTTTTTAGCTCCGTGCCTGTTTTTTCATCAGCTCTTCCCAATGATCCAGGCCATGCTTGATCAGGTGTAGCAGCTCCTCCATCTCCTTCTCCGAAATGATACCTTGCATGCAATGGGATGATGGAAAATGGTAATATATGGCAATATTGTTGATGATGATGATGATGATGATGGTGATGGTGATGGTGATGATGATAGTAGTCACGGCTGCGATTCTGGGAGATGCAACAGACTGCCCTGCTGATGCCAAACCGGACATAACTCATAGCTGATCCAAGGGCTGAAAGTCGAAGATGGATTTGAACAGACAAAGAGTGCGTGGTGAGACCCGAGAGGCATCGAGCGAAAGGTTAGAGGCAAACCAGACTTCTGCCGAAGTACCCTGGCTCTTCCACTTTCCCACTTGATCCTGCGGCCACTGCAGACAACAAATTGGGTAGCTGGGTAGCGTGTTCTTCTGCGAAGCTTCCCTTGCCTATGCTTGAGACGAAGACCAAGCATCAGACTTGGAACTAAAACATATTACAGTAAAACATTGTTTAAGGCATCTTCGCTGCGTTGAGGGCGTTATATAATCCCTCCATTCAATGGCTATGATCTGAAAGCTGGGTCCTTCTGCGTTTGGAAGAGCATGCTTGCCAGCTGAATCGTGCGAACCTTGTCTGCCACCCCTTCAACTGAGATTTTCTGCTCCACAGTTCCAAAAAAAGCGTTGGTCCTGCAATGTGCCCAACATGCACAACAAATGGGCAGCTGTTTCAACATGTTTCAACCAAGAGAAGGACCTTGCTGATGTCGCGGGCTCCAATTCCTTACCCGCAGAGTGACATCTGAGTTCACTAAAGTAAAAGTGTCTCGCTTTGAGTGGTAATACAATGAAAATATATGAAATACGATTTGAAATACGTGTTCGAATTGTTCGAGCATTTCGAACTTTGTCCGAACAAATATCTTGATCTAACTCTTTTCGCAGGTCCCCTGGTCCCAACTGAGGCTGCCACCATTGTCTTTCAGGATTCGGTCTCGGTTGTGAAACGATGCAAAGCCAAAAAGAACGGACTCTCAAGGGTGAATGGGCTGAGTTCAAGAGGGGACTGAAGCACTCTCAGAGATTCTTCATCCGGAATCATTCGGATGGAAAGGAGGGATTAGTGCCGCAAAGGATCGCGCAGCTTCGATTTCCTTGGCTCAGACATTATGACATTGTCCGACAAGTTCTTTTGATCATGGGCTGGAATCCTCCATCTGTTCTCTCCGTCCAAGCGCTGCTTGCTAAAGCTCAACGAGACAACGAGACACGTTTTTTCAAATGATAAATTCTGAGCTGCTACCCAAGGAGCCGATAGCGAATCTCCAATGACATCAGCGCGCGCATCTAAGGAGAGGCACTCGCTCTTCAGCAATTGATGAGAAACCTGAGAGAAGGAAAATGTAAGCTGAGATGGAGCAACTCGTGTCTTCTGACTGATATGATATGTTATGATAAGCATGGGAAAATGCGACCATTTGCCACGTCGTGACAACTTGAGTTGCTTTGACAATTTGAAAAGGAAAAAGGAATAAAAATAGCAACAGCATGAATCAACTGTGCAGCCAAAGAAGCTGTATGATGAGCATCGATAAAAGCCACCACGGTGAAAAGATCAAAATACTGTGCACCTCCATTGATCTCAACTGGAACAAACCTTAGCTGAGAATCGACTGTGAATCTACAGCCATCTTCAGCATCTGCTGTGGGTTCAGATTGACGTCAGACTGGATGCGGAGAAGGCTCGTAAAGTATGGGGAGAGCAGTTCGCGCACCTGTAGAGGCTACTCTTGAAATCCAAAGTTGGCAAGAAAAACCTCAAAAAGGCTGCCCCTGCATTGACTTCAAGAAGGAGAAAGGAGAAGGCATATAATGTGCCTTTTGACATGCTTGCTGCTTGGCTGCGAAATCAAACTGGAAAGCTGTTCCCGAAGTTTGTTTAGCAGCGGCTCTGGGACTTCTAACAAACAATCTCTTCCCAAATCCAAAAAATTGGACACTTCTTCCAGCACGAAAAGAACAACCTGCCTTGACACGAATGCTGTGTCTTCCTCAGTCGGGCTCGGGATTTATTACCTGTCAAGACATCTCGATGCATCTCTTGCATCGTCTGCAGATTTCAGCCAAGCATCGATGCACAAGCTTCTTTTCCAGAATCCTCCAATCCTGGGCAGAATTTGAGTCGACTCAAGAGACAAACCGACAAAACAAAAAAAGTCGCTACGACCTGTGCCTTGGGAAACACGGCATCGAAAACGCGTCTGAACGAGTCGCATTCAAACCGAGGGCTGCAAAGTCGTCAGCCGCATCGATGGAGGCGAGAAGCAGCTCAGCACCTTCAGGCGACAGCATTTCATCCTGGTATCCTGGTGTCCATCCTGGTTCCTTATGATCCTTATGACTCGTCATCTGGAGTATTTTTTACAGTTTACAATAATTTACAATAATTTACAATAATTTACAATATCTGCTTGGAAATCATGACCAAAATATATACCAAAATCAGGCTTTGCTGCGTGACCTGTCCTGAGCTGGACTCCACACAACTTGAAACATGAGAGCCTGAGGCTCGTCTTGGAAGCATTCCCACGTCCATCAGTCGCGTATACTCAGCACCTCAGCGATATTTCTGGAGGAAGGTTCCAAGTAAAGGCGAAGCAGGAAACAAAAAAAGGCTGCATCATTTGGGTATCGAAACACTGTTCTTTCCAGCTCTGAAATCACATCAAAAACGTGTGGGA